CAGATTATGTGATACCAGATTAGTCCCCCGTCAACCGCCGGGACCTTCCTTTCCTGCGCAAGCTTTCTATCCTCCGCTATGGTCCCTTCCTCCTGTGACACCAACACCTCCTGGAAGTGACGCGTATGCAACACAATGGTGTTTCATACAGTAGAAGGGACACAATCATGATATGACGGTAGATTTTTCGCTTCCCTTCCTCATCCTCCCTTCCTCTCTCCACTGCCCTCCAGCTGCCACTGCAGCACCATGTGGAATGAACGGAAGTGTGCTAAGCAGGTGTTTATATAGCCCTAAGAGTGTTATCACAACTATCCTGCTACAAAACATCTCAAATCCTGTAAGCTACCCGATTTGTTAGCGGTTTGTTTATCCCATGAGCTTCCTTCTCACTCACTTCATTTTGCGGACGGACACACATACATACATACACACACACACATACAGACATACAAACCGACACACAAAGTTAGCGCTTTATAAAATAGAAGGATATATAATCGTCGTGACTTCATGATCAGTGAAAGCTGAACCACGATTTGCATTCGATTCTTGTTGTGGCTTAACTTAATGATGTTTCGCACGGGACCGCCAGAATTCTTTCCAACATTCCAAACGCAATCCTCGCCCTCAACAATCATATCACTAATATATCAAAGTTTCTCCTTGCTAACATTTGTGTTTCATAAGCCACGATCTCTACGTGATCTCAGAATCTCTTGCTTTCATTTTTGGACCCTGTGACAACCCAACATAGTAAATCATGCAACTTCGCCTCTTCATCTGGATGATCCCTGAACCGCACATGAAGAGGTCATGATGATTCACCTACGTGCTCATCTCCGCCTTAATAGGCGTTTTTGGATACCACCTCTGCTGTCGTAATCCCCTATGGCGGTAGGACAAAATACACAATTTTCGGTCACACATGTGATCGAAGACTTTAATACCAGGCGATGCATCAATTGACCCCTCTGTTGTCACGGCGGGCGGCAGGTTCGCATAGCCGCTCAGCAGATCGTCCATTTTGATTGCTATATTCTATCCGAGAGCTTTGCTGTTCCGAAACTTAAGGCTGATATTTTCGTACTGTGAGACTGTTCCTGGTTCTACCTTCTGACTATGGCCATCACTGGAGTTTCCGAGTACCGCAGTGGCAGGGTACGCAACAGGAAGTTATTGCCACCTGGACAGGTCATGTTTATTGATCCTTTTTCATCGCGGCGTGTTCATTGTTTCCATTGATTTTTTCCCTGTTTTGCTTTTGACGAGAAGCTCGTCTGATTTTTTGTCCGTAGCCATCATCCTAGGTGTGATATAATTCTGAGCATGATCAATGAGACAACTGTTTTCCGTGAAAATTTAGGAAGGTCATAAGAGGAAAAGGAGTTTGGAGCTTGGCTGGCCAAAATGATTTCTAGGAGGCTGCAAATGAGCACACCAAGAACGAGTCTATTCCTCTATATGTTCGTCCTGTATTAGCGTTTTATCGGGAAGTAGGCGTGAAATTGATTCTATATCGAGGCAAATCAAAGCGCTGAAGGATGAAGATGCTGTACTCCAAAAATCTCTCGATAGTTTCAGATTGTCTTCTTCTAGCGATAGGTTTTCCTCAAGATCCTGTTCCTTTGGGCAGACCTAGTGATAGACTTAGCCAATCGTTTGAGGATTGTGCGTAGAAGATCGTAGAATCGTAAGTGTTCCGGAAAATAGCAGTAATAGAAGCTATGACAGAGTATCTCACGATGGATCATATGTTCATCAGCTTTTTGATTATCTAGCTATTGATTGTACGATTGTTGCGATATATAGGACCAGTTTTGCTGCTGAATGTCTGTTCCATCGCTTTTTTTCTTTTTTTTTGCTACACTCATGAAGCAGGGGGCCAAGGTGTCAACTTCTGGTGGAGATCGAGACAAAGCTTTTCCCGTAAATGAATCCTTTAAACTCGCGGTTTGTTACCGATATCAGCTAATTGCTGCCGCTCACCAATTTATAACGTGTCAGTGCTAATAAGCTGTGGTAACCAAACCATGAAAAGCTGAGTTATATGGCGCACTTGCCCGGAAAGCGAGAGTTGCAGGTTCGAATCCCGGCCTGGGGCGAAACGTTTTGTTCATAACCCTGCATTCTTGTGAACTGTTTCAGTACTCAAAGGATTTTGGTGAACTATCACGCAAGACACATTGCTTCACACATCATTTGGCTTGCTACTTCAAGTTGAACATGGAGCTGTGGCAATGGGCTTTGAAAACGAAATCGTAATAATAATTGGTCTCGCGGCTGTAAAGATTAAGGAACTGATGAAAGTCGGAAATACCAAAAGAGAGAACGGATACTTGCCAAAGATGCTTTCCAAGGAATAACTGGTGACCGGTCATTCTAAATTCTTCGACTCAGACATCAATGGACTCGCTTGACGAGTCTGTCTAATTAAATAATTCCATTGTTCATATTTTTGACAATTATGACAGCGCGTCGGTTTGCGACGAAGGAACTCGACGACGCAAAGAGATTTCTCAGAAATTTTGAACGCTAGCTTGACACCCTCGTCGTCTTTCAAATAACTTTTTAGATACGATGGCTTCCTTGAACGTTTACATCAATGTACAACATAGTCTTCCCCATCCCTAGCCCTGGTGGGATGTTGTAAACTCACTCGATGGAAAGATCACTTGTTGTCGCCGGAGCAAC